ATATATCTATATCTCATGGGGTCCCAGAAAAATCTGACACAATGGGCTGAGATTCGTCTGTGGGTTTTCTCCCCCTTTTATGTGTTTATTTTGGTGCCGATGCCTTTTCTTGGATCCTGCATTTTAGAGCTCAACTGAATTTGAAACTAAAAGCTCTTATTAGAGGAGATTTTTTTTAAAGTTCTTTTTGCCTCTCTGGGGACAAAAATAATGGCAGCTTGAAGCAGCAGAGAATCAGTAATTAGGGCAAACAGCGATGCCTTGCATGACTGGGGGAAAATATGAGGATAGGAGGAGAAGAGCGCAACAGACAGACTTGTACAGCCTGTTACTAGGAAACCACATCAGCATTAAATGCACTGTGCTAATTGGCTAGCCTGTGACTGCCTGGGTACCAGCCTGGGCCTGCTACACAGCTGTTTCTGCTCTCTCGTTGCTAGGTAACTACATCTCTCCCCCCCCCACCCATCATCCCCCCCCAGCACACCACTTATTCTGGAGGCTAATTGCCTACTTTTGCTGCTGGTGTTGCTGCTGGGTACCAGCCTGGGCCTGCTGCTCTGCTGTTCTCCCGAGGGGTCGGAGGTGGGGGAAGATATGTCGGCAATTAATGGAGCATAAGTGCAGATTCTACACAATGTCTGGCACCTGTGCCCCCAAATCCGACTCCCTAAACTAAATCTTTCTGCTCTGAGTGCACATCAGAAGCTTGGAGCATCTTTCTCGGCTGAGCTTATAAGAATATGTTTAAAAGGAAATCAGAATTTAGAAGGCTTTATCATTCTTGCTGGGAGTCTTACTCAGCAAGGACAGTAAATGGGTATTCCTCAGCATTCCTGGTGTTCAGCATAGTGACAATGGATGTTTATTATTATTACTTGGTATCCTTGGAAGTAGGGTAGAGAATGGACTATTTCAGCTGCTTTGAATTTAGTCATACACTTGCTCTTTTAAATGCTGTGAGGTACACCCATTGTAGTCTGCCTGTGATGTGTGCCTGTTAGAAATAGGATGGAATGACAGTCCTATATGCTCGTGTACTGAGTGACTGCCACAGGCTTTGTATGTGACATGAGCAAGATCATTAGAGCCTGAGACAAAGACACTGAAGTGCCTGGAAAAACTCCCATTGGCCATTGGATCAAGCCCTTATCATTTTGTCCCCGTCTCTAAAATGGACGTGATAATTGCTACTGCAAGGAGCATGTACGGGAACTAATTTTGAAGCTGATCGTCCTTTTCATTTAAAAACAGTTACAATTTTCTCACATGTTATATTTCATAATCTTAGTGTGCTCCTTTCCCTCTGTTTACCATGTTGTGTCTGTTTCTTTTGTGCTCTTAGTGCCTTGGGGGGGGGGGGGTCCATCTTTCTGGCACATGCCAGAACTGTGAATAAAACACTGCCCTATTTTTTTTCTCCAGAAAAAACCCCAGAGAGTTTAAATACTCTCCACTGCCCTCCAACCCTTTATGAAAAAATAGTGCTTTCCATTTCTCAGAAAAAAATCAATTAGTGGTGTGTATATATAGGAATGAAAAGTATCTGAGATTGATTTTATAATTAGTTTTACTGGTTGCAGAGTCCAGTGCAAGCTGCAGGAGGACACTAAGGTTGTACCTTTGACCTCCAGAGGATGTGTATATTTAATGGTTCTGGCTGTTCTCTCCTTCTCATAAAGGAATGAACTTATTATTAATGGTAGAGAGTTGTGATGTATTGTGGCTAATAGAATGTGCTGTAAATCAGTGGCTTTTCACTTAACTGTACTAGCAAAGCAGACGAAGGTCTCAGCTGCCTGAGCCATGTGAGTGCAACTTGCACATCTCTGCTGAACCTGGCCTGATACTATGTTCATTTGGTGGCAAAGGCTTTTGGACCGCAGCAGCTTTGAGTGTCCAGAGGAGAGGGGATGCAGGAGACAAGTCCTTGTGGTGCAGTGGGGGCCAAAAAGCTTATTATTAAGATACTGCTATTTTAGAGGAGCCCTATAGAATTGTTATTCTTTTGGAAACACGCTGCCATCAGAAGTCACGTGTCAATTTTCATAGAAATGGAAGTCTTATCTAA